CTGCATGTTCATCTGTATCTTTTTTTTTTAAATTTATTTTCAGCATAACAGTATTCATTGTTTTTGTACCACATCCAGTGCTCCATGCAGTCTGTGCCCTCTCTAATACCCACCATCTGTATCTTTTATCCTATCCATTTATAATAAACTGGTAAACAGTAAATTAATTATTTCCTGAGTTCTGTGAGCTGTTCCAGCATATTAACCAGATCCGAAGAAGAGGTCACAGGAATCTCCAACTTACAGGTGATTGGTCAGAAGCACAGTAACCATCTGGACTTGCCATTGGCATCTGAAGTTGGGGGGGTAGTCTTGTGGGGCTGAGTTCTTAATCTGTGAGATCTGATGCTTTCTCTGGGTAGAAAGTGTCAGAATTGCATTGTATCACAGGATTGCTTGATTGCAGCCTGGAGGTGGGGGCACTCACCTAACACCTGGTGTCAGAAGTGTTGTGAATATGGTCATAGTGTGAGAGTAAAGGGGAATCACAGGAAGAGAACTGGGTTTTTCCAACTCAGGTTCCAAACAATTCAATGAGGGAAAAAATAGTCTTTTCAACAAATGGTGCTGGGATAACTGGATAGCCACAAAAAATAGTAAAGTTAGACCCTTACCTTACACAATACGCAAAAATTAATTTAATGGATCAAAGATCTAAATGAAGGAGCTAGAACTATAAAACTCTAAGAAGAAAACATAAAGAATTAACCTTAGATTTGGCAGTCAGCAGCATTTCTACACTAAAATGTAGAAAATCTACATTTTCTACACAAAAACCAGTTGATGTTCTAACAAACAATCTGAAAAGAAAATAATGAAAACAAGTCCATCTGCAATAGCATCAAAAAGAATAAACTATTTTGGAGGTGAAACCAAGTATTGGAAAACCAAATACTCCCAACCAACAAGGTGAAAGACTTGTATAGTGAGAACTAAATATTTCTGAAGAAATTTTTAAAAAGACATAAACAAATGGAAATACATTCTATGTTCATGGATTGGAAGATTTATTATTAAGATGTCAGTACTACCCAAAGTGATCTACAGTTCAATATAATCCCTACAAAAATTCTAATCTAATGATGTTTTCATTGGGAAATAGAAAAATCCATCCTAAAATTTATATGGAACATCAAGGGAGCTTGAATAGCCAAAACGTCTTTAATAAGAAGAACAAAACTGAAGGACTCATGTTTCCTGATTTCAAAACTTACTACAGAGCTATAGTAATCAAAACAGTGTGGTTCTGGCACAGAGAGACATACAGGCTAATGGAATAAAATGGAAAGTCTAGAAATAAACCCCCAAATATATGGTCAAATGATGTTTGACAAAGGTGGCAGGACAGGGAAAGGGACAGTCTTTTCAACAAATGTTGCTGGGAAGACTGGATATCCACATGGCAAGGAATAAAGTTGGGCCCTTCCTTACTTAATACCATATACAAAAATTAATGGAAAATGGTTCAAAGACCTAAATGTAAGACCTTAAACTGTAAAATTCTTAGAAGAAAACACAGAGCAAATTCTTCAAAACTTTGGATCTGGCAGTGATTTCTGGAATATGACACCAAATGCACAGGAGAAAAGGAAAAAATATACAAATTGGACTTTATGAAAATTAAAAAATTTTGTGCATGAAAAGATAGTAAAATGGAGTAAAAAGTGAAAAACATGGAATGGGAGAAATATCTGCAAATATCTGATAAGTGGTTAATATCCAAAATACATAGAGATCTCCTAAAACTCAACAACAGAAAACAACCTGATCCAAATATGGGTAAGGAACTTAACTAGACATTTCTCCAAAGAAGACATACAAATGGCACTGAGCACATGAAAAGATGCTTAACATCACCAATCACTAGGAAAATGCAAATGAAAAGTATAAGATACTACCTCTGATTCATTGGGATGACTGTTAGAAAAAACAAAACAAAAACAAACAAACAAACAAAACCCCCCAGAAAACAGCATGTGTTGATAAGAATATGGAGAAATTGGAACCCCTGTGCACTTCTGGTGGAAGTGTAAAATGGTACTTCCACTGTGGAAAACAGTGTGATGGTTCCTCAGAAAATTAAAAATAGAATTACCATATGATCCAGCAATTCCATTTCTGGGTACATATCCAAAAGAATTGTAAGTAGGGTGTCAAAGAGATTTTTGTACACCCTTCTTCGAACAGCTAAAATGAAAAAACAACCAATGTATCCCCTGATGGATGAATAGATAAACAAAATGAGGTATATAGGCACAGTGAAATATCATTCAGTTTTTAAAAAAAAGACAATTCTGACATATGCTACAATATGGATGAATCCTGAGGACATTATGCTAAGTGAAATAAGCTAGTTACAAAAAGATAAATACTACACGATTCCACTTATATGAAATAGTAGTAGTCAAAATTGTAGAGTAGTCAAAATTGTAGAGACAGAAAATAGAATGGTGCTTGCCAGGGGCTGGAGAAAGACAGAAATGGGGAACTATTGTTTAATGGGCACAGAATTTCAGTTTTACAAGACGAACAGAGTTATAGAGGTGGATGGTGTTAATGAATGCACAACATTATGAATGTATTTAATATCACTGAACTGTACCCTTTTAGAAATGGTTAAGATGGCAAATTTTATTTTAAAGATTTTATTTATTTATTTGACAGACAGAGATCACAAGTAGGCATAGAGAGAGAGAGAGATGAGGAAGCAGGCTCTCCACCGAGCAGAGAGCCCAATGAGGGGCTCGATCCCAGGACCCTGAGACTATGAACTGAGCCGAAGGCAGAGGTTTAACACACTGAGCCACCCAGGTGCCCCAAGATGGTAAATTTTATGATATGGGCATTTTAACTACAGTAAATATGTTCAGAAAAAAATCGGAAAGGTATCAGAATTTTCAACATCATCCTGAAAGGTAGAAGACAATGGAATGATGTCTTCAAAATTCTGAGAGAAAATTACATCCAAAGTATAATCTATACCCAGCAAACTATCAATTGAGTTATGAATTTTAACAGACATTTTCAGCCATTCGAGAGCTCAAAAAATTCACCTGACATTCCTTCACTCAATCTCAAGAAGCTACCCATAAAAATGATGAAATAAATCAGGAAAAAGAAAAGACATAGTATCCAGGAAACAGAATATAGGTCACAGGGTAGCACATTATCTGTGTACCAAGCCTAGAGAACATCCTAGAACAATAATCCAGTCCAGATTCGATCGGGAGGTGAGGTCATTGGGAGAAATGACTCCAGAAAAGCACATAGGCTGACAAACTTTTCAATATGTTTCAATATTTGGAAATACTGTTGAGATGTGTTTGACAGATCTATTAAAAACACTTGGGAAAAAATAGTGATAGATTTTGAAAAATAGCATATGAGAAAAGGAAGAAGGTAATAACACCATGGGAGAAATAAAGTTCTATGAGAAAAGAAACAAAATCAACCATTAGATCAGTGGTAAGTAAACATTTACATAATCAAAATAATATAAATATTAATTATTCTATTTAACAAAAAACACAATGTAACTATATTGGGACAGTAAAAGATGAGGTATAAGTGATTACTCCCATCATGAGATAGTTAATGAAAGGATATCTAAAATTTTTAAATTAAGAAACCCAACATAGTAATATTATTTTGCCAGTAAGGATTGAAATAAACAGGCAGAGCAGTTGAGAGTGGTTGCTTTTGGGCAGAAGGACTGGGAGTGGGGGAGCCAAAGGATCATGCACTAGCTCTGCTGGGGACCCCCCCTCCCCACACCAGCCATCCTTTAAAATTCTGCCCAGACTTCCATAGACTTTCCTTCCTTCCCTGGTAGAGATGCCTATTTCCTTCCAAGATCCCCTGTCCCTAGGCCTCTATCAAAGCACTCATTACCCTGTATTTGCATTTTCTCTTTGTGGTCTAAGTATGCATCTGACTTGGGCTTCGTCTTCGTCGTCTTCTTTTTTTTTTTTTTTTTAATTTAAACTTTATTTTATTTTTTCAGTGTTCCAAGATTCATTGTTTATGCATCACACCCAGTGCTCCATGCAATACCTGCCCTCCTTAATACCCACCACCAGGCTCACCCAACCCCCAAAACCCCTCAGTTTGTTTCTCAGAGTTCACAGTCTCTCATGGTTCGCCTCCCCCTCCAATTTTCCCCAGGCTGACTTGGGCTTCTGAGGGCTGGTACCGCTCTGCTTGTAATCCCAGCACCCATCACACAATTCCACTCAAACCTGGCTGAATGAATAAAATAAGGAATCTGGGGTGAGAGTGGATTTGGACAACAGAGGACCACAAAGTAAAGGTCTCCCTCTTACACATTTCAATTTGCCATCTTTCTGAGTGATTGGTGGGGGCTGCTCATTACTTCCCAAAATCTTGGGAAAAGTTCATTTTCTCTGGTTGTAATGCACTAAGGGTGGCAACTAACTGTGTTCTATTTTGCCTATTTTCTGCAGTTAATAAGCATTATTTAGAGTAACATAACTATCTTTAAGCGATTCATGTGGAAGGCTTTTAAAAAATTTTTTTAAATTTTTTTTATAAACATATAATGTATTATTAGCCCCAGGGGTACAGGTCTGTGAATCGCCAGGTTTACACACTTCACAGCACTCACCATATCACATACCCTCCCCCAATGTGTGGAAGGCTTTTTAAGATGCAGTGCATAAATGCAAGAGATAAGTGAAGCAACCAGAGACTGCCCTAAATTACAGGACGATCTTTTTCCGTACGCAGTCTCTACATACGTCCTCCCAGCAGCCTCCCCACCCCCACCCCCACCAGCTTCCACTCCAGGGGCTCCAGGCTTGCTTCTCTTTCCCTGCAATCCTGCGAGGGAGTAAGCCCAGAGTAATGAAAAGATGCCGAGAGCCACAGGCTGAGCCAGAGAGGGCAGGATGCAGCGATGAAAGGAAAGGGAGGAAGCAGCCCAATTCTCCGCCCGCCTGGTATCCTCGGAAGCATCCTTCTCCGTCCCTCCCTTCCATTACCTTCTGGTGCCCGTAGAACCAATGGATGGGAGGCGCGGGGAAGCGGCACAGGTCTCGCAGTAGCCTCAGCCTCCGCAAGTAGAGCTTGATGGCCTGCAGCAGGCCCAGCGCCAGGCAGAACACGAAGGCCAGGTACAAGGGCCGCGCCCAGCGCGTCTCGAGCCAGGAGGACTCCATCGCTGTGCGCTGCGCGGTCGCAGGCGGCCTCCTGGGCTCCGGAGGGGATGGGCTTTCCCCGCCAGGCACCTGAAGAAGATAGCTCAGCCCACCGCGACTCTGTGCCCTCGAGCAAGTTCCGCTCTTCCCCCGGGAGGAGGAAGACCTCTGGGAAGGAAAGCGCCAGCTTGGCCAGAGGAGGCAGTCTCGACTTCTCCGATTTCTAACCCTTTATCAATTGAGGCGAATCTTCATTCAGGGCAACTTTTTTGTTTTGTTTTTAATTTTATTTTTTTCAGTGTTCCAAGATTCATTGTTTATGCACCACACAGGGCAACTTCTTAATGCCCTTCTGGAGTGTCACACTTCAGCTGTGACAGTTTTCAATTATGGGAGGTCAGAATTTAGGTTTCAAAATAATACCAAGGCTGAGGCCATTGTTTTTCTTCTTTGCCACAAATAAATGGTAAACTGCTATGTTAATAAAAACAAAACAAAAACCCAAACACAAAAACCTTTTCTTCCCTCTCTGAAACTCTGTCAGAACCCACAGGGATCTGGGAGTTGGGAATGGACATGTATAATCCTTACACTTACATAATGTGGCTTGTCCAGTGGTGTGTTGGTAAATGTTTTACAGTTGATCTTCACTCGGATTTCTAGCATTTGCCAATGTCCACCGTGTGTTATTTCAAGCTACAGAAGACGCTACAGATAGGATCAGGGCCCACTATATAATTTGTGGATCCGGGGGCAAAATGAAAATGTGGGGCCCCTTGCTAAAAATTATTAACAATTTCAAGATGATGACAGCAGAGCATTAAACCAAGCATGTGAGTATGCTTCTGAGTATGGGGCCTTGTTTCATGCCTATGAAGCCAGATCTATCCAAGAGACATACATAACTTTGAGAGCATAGAAAATAGGAAAATGTAGCAAAATTATTAGAAAGTAATGCATTTTTGGTACTTATTATTTATTAGGTGGTGAACTAGGATCCAGCAGACCTCACTTCCCAAGCTGCTGTCCCCCTTGCCCAAAATTCAATTATTCATTCATTTATTTATGCTAAGAAAGGCACATGTTAGGTGTTGGATTTACAGTTTTGAACAATAAACTCAATCTCTGCTACAACTCCCTATTCTCCTCCCTGTCACTGCTCCCACTCCTTAAGCCCCACCCCAGTCTCCATTCCAGGTTTTGTTTGGTGGGTTAATAGTTTAGACAAACTCTAATTGTGATAACTTCATCTGGACTAAGTACAAGGTCCTGGGATGTTCCATTATGTCCCACACCTTACATGTTACAGTTCCTCTATGTCCACCTACCTCCATCCTTCAACTATTGTTATTTGACTGTGTCTCAGAATCTTCTGGTTTATGCAGTCTCCTCTGAGTAACTCAGATTCTTCCTCGGCACCCTGTCCCTTCTCCAAATCATAGTAAGTGTATGGTGGTCTTCATATGACCACATCATGGTGATCAAGCTGAGGACCTCAGATCCATGCTCTGCCTTTAGGATCCAGGTTGGTCCTGGCTTTGTGACATCTAGTCTTGCTCTCATCCTGGGGTCCTCTGGGCTGACTGACAAGTAGTAGAGTGGGACTGATGAACTTCTGGTTAGTTCTTTCAGCAGGGTCAGGGCCTGGGGACTCCTTAGCTGTCCCAGTCTTACTCAGGCTCTTACTGGAGATGTTAATATCTTCTGAGACGTTCTGGTCCATCCGTGGCATTCTCTGTCCTTCCTTAGAAAAGAAAAAACATCAGCACTTTTTGCACTATACCCAGGAGCCTAAGAAAGGCTTGAGGATGCTAGCTCAATTCTTCTCCCTGCCACTGCCATTTTCACTCTGGTTCCTCTCCAAAAGGAAGCAAGGCAAAATCTATCCAAATCTTCCTTTCCAGAAATTCAGCTTAGAGGGGAAAAATTAGATGCTTTCCTAACCTCTGGCTTTACCTCTTCTGCTAATTCTTACCCTAGTCCACCAGGCTGGAAGGTGGAATTGGGGATTCACAATTTCCATTCATGTAGTAGAAACTTTCCTTATGTGTCCTCTCGCCCTTGATTAAGACTGAAAATCTACAGCCTACTCCAATAGGACATGATAATGGGACATACAGGAAGTAAGAAAAATATTTATTCTGGCCAAAGACTGGCTTTCAAAACTTATTTCAACTCAGAAATTCCATTTTGGAGACCAACAGCAGAGCATCTATCCCTTCCTTCTCTTGACATATCTGTGCAAATGTTCACTGAATTGAATTTGCTTGGCTGTAGGATGGGGATAGGGACACTGAAAAAGCCCCATCAATGTGGTCAGACCAGGTAAGGATTTCAGACTTTACAAAACGTGATAGTAATCCACTGAAGGGATTTAAGATGGAAAGTGACATGGTTAGGTAGTATATCACAGCTATTTGGGAGATAATAGTGGGCAAATATTTATTGTGTGCTTATTAAGTGCCAAGTACTATTTTAAAGGGATTTACATGTATTAACTCATTTAATCCTCATAATAAAAACTTGACATAGATATTACCATTATCCCCATTGTATATATATGGAAACTGACACACAGAGAGATTATTAAGTTTGCCAAGGACATCAGAGGGTGAGAAGAGGGACTAGGATTTGAATCCAGTCAGTCTCAAGAATCTAGGTCCTAGTATCTTAACATTTATTAGGAGCAAATGATATGTCTATGGGGTGGTGAAAAACTGGCACTAGAAGACCAGTTCTGAAGCTGTTATAATATCCAGATAAGATGTGATGGTGGCCTGGTGAGGGGGAGTGCCATGGGACAAAGAGGCAGAATAAGTGGGAGAAATATTGGAGAGTGTTTTTGATGGAGTTGGTAACTGACTGGATGTGGGCCCTGTAGGGAAGAAATCTAGGATGATCTCTGTGTTTCTCTTCACTGAGGTAGAAAGAGCAAAAACAATCACTCTTTCCACTTGCTCCATCCCCTGCCCCATTCCTTGTGTCTTCTGCTCTTCTTGAACCTGCCTTCAAGACTTACCTCCTCTGTGAATGCTTCTCTAACCACCCAGCCCATGGGAATCCATCGTATGAACAATGGGAACACTCATTTTCATACCTCTCATTTGATACTCATTTATTTATGTTTTTATTATGACTCATTCCATAGTCAGTGCAACCCTATGGAGCCTAATTATATATTTCTTTTCATGTTCAACTTATCTTCCTAATTAGGTCTGGAAACTCCATGGTAGTGCAAACATTTTTTTTTCCCCATCTCTCAGATTTCCTTGGAGCCCAGCTCTGAGCTAAGCACATAGATATTTTAGAAATAGTTACTCAATTCATGAACTAGGGAGACATATTGGGGACTTTTAGGAAAGAGCAGGATGAGGAATTTAAGATGTAGTTATCTGATCCACAAAACAAGAGGACAGTGAAGGAATGGAGACATCCCAGGTCAGGGGACTCGTCTACTAAGAGAATAAGCATAAGGCAGGGGGTAGGAAGGGAGGTGAGCAGAGGAAGAATAAAGTAAAATGACAGCTATTTTCACAGTGGGGGAACCTGGGGGCTGTTCCTAAGGGAGATGGTGCTAAGAGAGCTGAAGGATGGAAGGTGCTGAGAGAAGGGCAATGAGAGAAAAAAACAGGGCCGAGGGGTGAGTTGGGTGCTGAATAGAAGGAATGAGCTGGATGGGATGGGGCACAGAAACTTCATAGATGTCCAGTCCCAAACAGTTTTATGAAAATATCAAGACTGGGCAATGATCCCTTCAATCTGTTCTTTTTTTTTTTTTTTAAGATTTTTTTATTTATTCATTTGACAGATAGAGATCACAAGTAGGCAGAGAGACAGGCAGAGAGAGAGGAGGAAGCAGGCTCCCTGCTGAGCAGAGAGCCCGATGTAGGGCTCGATCCCAGGACCCTGGGATCATGACCTGAGCCGAAGGCAGAGGCTTTAACCCACTGAGCCACCCAGGCGCCCCCCTTCAATCTGTTCTTAATTGACAGCACATTAGTTGCAGTTTTGAAGGGGTCCAACTGGGAAGACCAACACGTTAGAGGCATAGGCGGCAGGATAGAGGGAGGGAGTGGGCAGATTACATCTCTGATGCCAGATAACCTCAATTTTCTCAGAGGATTATGAGGCATCTTCTGCCCTGACAGGAAAAAGAGGACTGAGTGCCTAGAGGGGTGGGGATTCAGAGCAGCTAATGGGGTGATGCTGAGGGCATTGGCAAGCAGTTGTTAAGAGGCTGAGGAACCAGTGGAATTTACATAGTAGTTCCATGCAGAGGGCCCAGGCCACATGGCTCCATCACATATTTTCTCCCACAATAGTCTGAAGTAAGAGAATTGAAATGCTCAGAAAGGAGACATAGAGCCAATCCTTGCCCTCATTGCTGTGTCCTGTATACCATCCAGTGCTGGACAATGGCAGAATAAAAAGAAGGACCGAGGCTAGGCTTCTTCCTGGGACAGCTCACTATCTGGGGGAGGGGACAGATAGATACAGTATAATGGATAGCTGCCATGACTGGAAAGACCCCAATGGATTATCTAGACCTCATCTGGTCTTACGAATATAGAAAATAAATTAAAAAAAAATTAAAAAGACAGCTTGCCCTGAGCCCCTTCTCTCTAGTCTGAGAATTCCAAGGTTTACTCTCTTTTCATCCTTGCCGCCTGTGTGCCACACCAGTTGTGCCCATCTCTCCACTCCTTCGGATCAACAATCAGTGTGTCACAAACCATCAAATGTGTCTAGCAGTGTTGGCCTGTTACCTTAAGTGATTCCAATATTTTAAAAAAATTTTGCCAAGAAGTGTGAGCTTCCAGATGAGGAAAAGGAGCAAACAGAGACATTGGAGGAACACGAGGAACACCAGGTGTTGTGGGATATAAGGAGACACTGTTGAAACACGTTGAATGATGGATGTCAAGTGCTCCTGAGACAAGGGTCAAGGCTGAAATGTGTCTCTTGGAATTAGTGACATGGAAGTCAGATATAATCATAAGAAGAGTTGTTGAAGTGACAGATATAGAAGCCAAAATGAAGTGGGCTGGTAAGGTAAAACATGCCAATGAATTTGAAACTATGGAGAAAATATTGTCAACCCCAAAAAGCTTTGCTATGAAAAAGCAGAGAATTATGATATGACCAGATAAGAGAACAGGGATTCCAGAGTGGAAGGAAGGGGAGGACTCTCTACACCACCCCCTGCCTCCCTCCACCCCATTCCTAGAAGAGGGAGAGGTTAGGATCTTCTAGGCCTTGACCTAGAAGAAAGGAGAGGTTGGGACAGATGTAGAGCTTCACGTTTTGTGGTGTTTCCAATCACAACAGAGAATAGCAAAAAATATAAATTCCATAAAAAGATCTCCAGATCATAGGCAGTTTTGAATTAATTTAAAATACACTTAGTTTGGGGCACCTGGGTGGCTCAGTGGGTTAAAGCCTCTGCCTTTGGCTCAGGTCATAATCCCAGGATACTGGGATCAAGGCCCGCATCGGGGTCTCTGCTCAGCAGGGAACCTGCTTCCTCCCCTCTCTCTGCCTGCCTCTCTGCCCACTTGTGATCTCTGTCTGTCAAATAAATAAATAAAATCTTTAAAATACACTTAGTTTAACAATTTCAAGATCAAGTCTCCATCTTCTTTTCTTCATGTAAATGTACCACTCAAAAGAGTTGAATTCAAGAGTACATAAAAGTCATCTGATAAAAGTATACTTGGCATAATATCAAGTTAAATAGATCACAATTCTCAATAGTCTGTTAAATGCCTTAAGCCATCCCTCACACTTGTTTGATTGGGAGCAATTAAAAAATAATAATTTTGAGCATCACGTAAGTAATATCCTTATAAGGCAAAACAGGCTCTGCCAAGCTAGACCCTCACCTGGAATGATGATAATTTCAAAATAATATTGAACCTCCCTCCTGTCTCAGGGAGACCACAGGCCAGCACAGCCCACAGCACCCTGACAATTCATTGCCTGTGCTGACCCTTTATTTTCTGTCCGTTGTCCTGGTATCTCACTTTGGGGACATTTTTTGTGACCCCAGTTCCCAGGAGGACCAGGTGAAATGGCTGTCAGGGAGCACTGCCTGTGTGAGCAGCCACAGCCTGAAAGCCAGTAGACACTGAGTATCAGCCTACAGAGTTACTGCCACTGCCACTATGGGCACCACTGCCTCCACAAGAGTCTTCAGCTGGCCCTGGCCAGACCTGCTTAGGGAGAGATGGCTGTCCCAAGTGGTTGTCTGGAAAGCTGACAGACCAGTGGGTGTCAGAGTGACCCAGAGAGAGGAAGAGCCAAGCAGAACACCATCTAGCTCCTTGGGGTCCTCAGAGGAACTACTGACACAATGCAGGAGCAGGAGTTTCTGGAAGCCGACTAGCTTGGAGAGCAAGCAGTCAGAAAGGAGGCATACAGCTGTGCTGAAACAGGATCCTCCAGGGGCCCCTGCTGCACAGGTTTGAGGGATCCTAGAGGATGAGGTAACATAGCTTCATGGTAAGAGTCTCCCATGATGCAGTCCCTGTACTAGATCTAAGGAGAAGGGTGGCCACAGTGATGGACATGTTCTGGAGCAGTTTGTGCATGTCTTTCAGACTCATTTGCCCCTCAAAAAAAAATCAAGATTTCCTTTGTTGTTCAGATGAGGTATATGTTGTGCTTCCCACAGAGTTTAATCCAAGAAATAAAGACCTGACAGCCTCTGAATGTGGCTTTGGGTTTTGAGCTAATATTCTCATTCCCTGAGATATGAGTGCTTGAGGGACAATCAGATGGGGCAGGGGGAGATGCGGTTTTTCCTTATATGCTCTAGGCTAATGAGAGAGATTAGAGAATTCATTGTCATAGCTAAGATGGTCCAGTCTCCAGGCGAGCCTTCAGGTTGATGGCAGAGAGTAGCTGATGACCAGATCTGAGATCCCTGCTATGGATGGAGGATGCCTTATGGCTCCCCTCTGCTCTGAATCCCAGCCCTACCACATCCTAGCTGGGTGGTCAGAGGCAAGTGGCTCAGCTTCTCTGAGCCTCATATGTCTCATGGGAAACAATGGAGAAGTGAGCCTTCATTGGAGGGTTGTTGTGAGGTTGGAGGAGCCCATGCATATTCCCTGAGGGCTCATGGATGGTACTTGATAAATGTGAGTTGTCCCTTGAGATATTTCAAAAAGTAAGCCTCCAGTTCTTCCCTGCTTTTCAGACTGGTCATGGTTAATCTACTAATCTGTGCACATGTGCATAACTGCTGGGCAATGTCTGCTCCACCTCTTCTGTAACACCCTCATTCCATTCAGTGAGGAGAAGTGGCTCTCACTGTGGCTGCCAAGCTGTGTGTGGGTGCATATGGACCCCACAGGCGTGTATGATCAGTCTTCTTTCTTCTGCCCAACTGGATTCTTAGTCTTCCTCTCCTTTTATGACCTTCACCACAACCCAAAGGTATGGCCAAACGCAGAGGTGTGATGGCCTTGGGAGGAAAGGATGGGATGATTGCTGCAGAACAACCCCTTTTCCTGTCCCAGCTTTTGTTGTGCTGTCCCTTGGATGACTGGAAGGAAGGGCTTGATCACACCTGTCCTGGCCCAAGTGCTCCTTCTGCAGGTGTTTGACCCTTCCCAGTTTGCACCGGGTTCCTCTCAACACAACCATGCTTTCCTGCCCTTCTCAGAAGGATCAAGGTGAAGCACTTGTACTTGGGTGGGTGTATCACTTGGGTGAATTGGGTGAATACCTGATGTTTGTGACTTTCTTTGTTCATCTGTAGTGTCTGCAGTTACTAGCATTGTATTATTGTGTGTAGGGAAAGAGGTGTGTGTCTCTGTGTTCAAAAAGAAGGTGGCAATCATCGCTTGCCATGGAGACTTGGACCCATTGCTCTACCCAATGGTTAACCACAGTTTAGTGTGACAATGTTCCAAAGTTCAGTATATTCTAATATTTTTCTCACTTTAGGAGGATGACTTTAAAATATTTCAGATGTTTCTTTTTCAATTACCAGTAATCCAGGCCACTGCCTTTTGTACCTAATTCATTATCTACCACTCACAGTATCAGTGATGTTTGCCTGTGTTTGGACTTCCTTTGGGTTCTTATAAGCATTCCAGTTGTGTACAGAAATGGTTTCAACAAAGTCTCACACCAATGGCTGTCTTCTCTATTTTTGCAATCTCATCCAACAAAATATTTACTACCCATTAATATTCTTATAACCATTGACAACTTTTCCAGTTGGCAAAATTCTTTATTTGAATGGGACTGGCATATCATATTCCACAGTATACGTAGTGAACATTGGCAAGCAGCATAAAATTGAGGACAATCAACTCCTTTGAGAGAAAACCTACTATTTTGCATATGACACTTTTTTGTATTGGCATTTGAACGTTATCTGGTCTGTAAAATGTAAAGCACACGGAAGTGGCTGTTCAGTGGGAAGACTATTGTCCAGAGTGGCTGCTATGAAATCTTCCAGTGCTGCTGAAAGTGTTCTATAAATAGTAACTGCAGGAAACTTTGTAAGTAGTTACTAGAAAACTGTTTTTTTCCAAGTATAGGAATCTGCCAATCCCTCACATACAAAATGAATCCACTTTCTTTTTAAAAAATTTTTTTATTGTGTTATGTTAGTCACCATAAAATACATCATTAGTTTTTGACCCAGTGTTCCATGATTCATGGTTTATGTACAAAATCCAGTGATCAATGCTATATGTGCTCTCCTTAATATCCACCAAAAGGCTCAGCCATCCCTGCACCCCTCTCCCCTCTAAAACCCGCAGTTTGTTTCTCGGAGTCCGCAGTCTCTCATGGTTTGTATCCCCCTCCATTTCCCCCAATTCACTTTTCCTTTCCTTCTCCTAATGTCCTCCATGTTATTCCTTATGTTCCGCAAGTAAGTGACACCATGTGATAATTGGCTTTCTCTGCTTGACTTATTTCACTCAGCATAATATCCTCCAGTCCACTTTCACACAACATCTTTAAGCAAATTGTGCTTCCAGATACTGGCTCCAGGATTTGTTTCTCCCTGGGATTGAGACCTTCCTCCTAGACGTTGGTACAAGTCAACTGACTGCAAGATGAGACAGGAAAAGGATACACAGCTCAGTTCCTAGCTCAGAACTAATGGTTACTCATATTTTATTCCATTCAGGGTTTGTTTGTTTTTTTTCAGTTCAATAGACATCATTCAATTATAAGACTGCCTATTAAACCTGTCTCTGTGTGCCAAGTCCTCTGCTATGAGATGGCATACTGCCCTTGCTTCCAGGAGTTCACAGTCAAGAAATATATGCCACCACTCAAAAGAGACATCTTTCTTTCTCTTTCTTTCTTTCTTTCTCTTTCTTTCTTTCTTTCTTTCTTTCTTTCTTTCTTTCTTTCTTTCTTTCTTTCTTTCTCTTTCTTTCTTTCTCTCTCTCTCTCTCTCTCTCCATCCCTCCCTTTCTTTCTTTCTCTCTTCATTCACTCATTACTAATTGACCCTCTGTAGGAAGCTCCATGTTCCTGGCACTGTACTACTCTGGAAAGCAATGTGTCCCTGAGTAAAGTATTAGGGTGATGTCAGGGTCCAGGAATGAAGAGGCATGGTGAGCAGGAGTGGGGGTGAGGGCAGGCTATCATTGCCCTTAGCCATGAGTATGTGGCAGGCAGAGTGGAGGGAGGGCATTCCTTGGGATCTCTTCAGCAGGAGCTGAGCTGGAAGGAGGAGAGAGTTAACAGGTGACTAGTGAGTGAGCCAACAACCGAGAGAGGACTCTGATGTCATCTGAGGCATTTGGACATGTTGTACCTGCCCTGATGGAGGGCATGGGAGGTTCTGAACTTGGCTGGGGTTTCAGGAGAGGAAGTGGAGGCAGGAGACAGAAAAGTCTGGGTTAGGAGGTAGAGTGATGGCAAGCAGAGACATTTCTGCAGTAGAATTGGAAGGCTACAGCAGCTGGTTGACTGAGGGGCCAAGGGGGAGATAGGAGTCTGGACCCAACCTGGCAGGCAGATGGTGTATCAGGTTGAGAGTCACTAAGGCTCTGCCCCTGCAGAAGCTTCTCTGTGCCATTCTGACTTCCTTACCCAACTCTGCCTTGTCCTTACTCTGAGGATCTGGACCCCTGTGTGCCCCAGATGGTTAGGGCCTGAAGGGTGGCCCAGCCCACCCCCTATGGTGCCCTGTCCTGCTCTCCCCATTGTGAAACCAGAAATGGCATGTGCAGAGAGTCAACAACTTAATAATAAACTATTTTAATGATCCCTTGACTTTGCCCTGAGGCACAAGGTGCCGACCTTCTTGCAACAGAATTTCAGGCCTACTGAGAGCACAGATAAGAGTAGGAGCTAATCCTGGAAGAGTGTAGGCTTTGTCAAAGGATAAGGGGAGAGTGTGAAACAAGCAAGGCGGGGTAGGCGTAGAGATGTGTGTGTGTCCTGAGGGAAGGGGACTGGGCTGTGTCCATGCAGGAGGGCCATGAATGTGCTGTTTCTGGCAGGGGGTTTGATGCCACTTCTCATTTCCTTTTTCCTCCCTAACGCAGGAACTGCATCGGGAAGCAGTTTGCCATGAACGAGATGAAGGTGGCGGTGGCCTTGACACTGCTCCGTTTTGAGCTGGCCCCAGATCCTTTCAGGGTCCCTGTTCCCACTCCAAGAATTGTGTTAATGTCCAAGAATGGGATCCACCTTCATCTCACGAAGCTCCTCTAACCCTTGTGGGGACAAGGATGAGCCCCAACGGCCTCCTGCCTACCATCATGTTTTCCTGTCAGTCTCTCCTGTCTGCTGTCTTCTGCCCACTTCCCACTTTCACTCTGCCCACAGCCAGTCTCCTGTTCTCCTCCCCTTGTGCATCTGATGTCTGTCCTTCTCCATCTCACCCTTTCCCAAGATTCCTACCTGTTTGCCTGTTACCTTTTTCCTACCCAGCTGTAGCTCTGACTATCCATGTAAGTCATGAACAATGACCTGTCCCCCAGGCTGTCTGCCCTCTCCGCATTGCTGTTCCTTTCTGTCTGCTTTGTGTTCCTTGCTGCTTAACCACATTACACAGACTTGGTTCCTTAAAAGAGCACAAGTTGATGATCCTGTAGCTTAGCTGATCAGAAATATGAAATGGGTCTCCCTGGCACAACAAAGGTGTTACAGAACCTCTAAGGGAGAATCTCTTTTCTTGAATTTTCTACCTTCTAAAATTCTGCTCTTAAGGCTATTCAGTGAGGGGATTAGGCCTCCCGTTTATCAAGGAAATATCCTGTTCTTAAATGCAATTGATTACAGATGTTAACAGTACCCATGAAATTTTTAGTGCAACATCTAGACTTCTTTTTAATTGAATAACGGGGACTCCAGCCAATCCAAGCTGACATATAAAGCTAGTCATCACAGTCTACCATTTGTCCTCTTATCATTCACACATTCCATTAAACCATATTTCATCTGCAATTTAAGTATAATAAAGTCACACTTCCACCAACTAACCTTCATATGATTGAATGTGTGTTGATCCTTTTCCCCAAGCACAAAACAAAGTCATTGGAGGGTATTCTCTCTTCTCCCTGAAATCCTGTGACCTACATGCTATGATACAAAGTTAACTATTAGTACCACATGTCTGGTTTCTGTGCAGGATATAAGACAAGAAAGAAAAAATCTGACACCCATGTGCACACATGCATAATCATATTCATAACAAAGCAGGAAAATGCTAGAAATAATTACCCTCTTTATTTCTATAACCTAGGACATGGCCATCCTTAGCATTTATAACAGCCTTCTTCCACTACCCATTCGGTTATTTTCTTTGCCCTCTGAAAGCCCCTCATCCGGTTGTGTTTTTTTTGCCTGGTGCCATGACCCAGACCCTCACTCTTAAAGGGTCTGGGCCAATACTAGTCTTGCCTGAACTGGGCTGTGGCATTTTCCCATTTGCTCTCATGACAGCGCAAAGCAATTCTATGAGATGCCTATGTATTTCCTCCATTCCAAGCATATTTTTACTTACCTTCATGGTAAGTAAACTGGCAATTTCCCCCTTGGTAATCAGATAGATCCAGCACAGTCATTGCTTCTGAGTTAGACCCATGAGGAGCCCAAAGTGTCCAGGAGTTATCTTCATGCAGTCATTCTTGTGTCTCCTGGTGGAAGCACTCTCACTTTCAGATATAAGAACACCAGGACAACACAGCACAAGGTTACAGGGATAAGTACTCCCTATTTTGCTAATCAGATCACTAGGGTTAAAAATGAGTGGTTCTGCTCCTATTTCTATCCCTTGAGTACTGGATGGGTGAGTCTGTTTATGGGAGAAACAGCCCCATATAATGGCCATTGATTTAAAGCAAATACAGCCCTCTGGAGAGCCTTCCTTCCACCCTGCAAGTTATTGCCAGCTAGCTGGTGCTGTACACCCAAAGTTATCCTGAGGTTATTTTTCTGGTTCTGGAATGCCTAGCTGGAATGGATATCCTCCCCAACTGGCAAAGAAGACTCAGTAGAATATGGGGGTTGATGGCTCCAGCTCATGAGGCTCTTCCCATATGTCCTCGTTCCAGTTGTCAGAGTCCCATTTCCCAGTGTTCTCACTGTAACAGTTGACATGCCGCAAGATACGGAATTCAGTTTGCTGACAATTCAGGCACAGGCAGGGTGACACCTGGGTTTAGTTTCAGATTCTGGGTCCTGGTTAAAGCTTGTTGCTACAGGTCAGAGTGATCTTCAGTGCAGACATAGAAGCTTTCAGGTTATCTATTTATTTAGGTCTGAGAATTTGAATCCTCCACATTGTTCTTTCCTTTTCCCACATCTTCAGTACAACATGGACATCTAGTCAATCTTCTTATGCTCCTTAGTTTGACTAACATGTTTTAAGGCATCCAATACTTGATCACCGGAACCTTGTCTTTTGCAAGACTTTGATTAGCAGCATCCAATGGTGAAGTCTTGTGTATTGCAACATCAGGCCCTGGGCTACCCATGTGCTCTTTACCATTGGTATTAGAGTCACCAGTCCCTTTCCAAATAATCCTATTAGAGAACCAATTCATGAAACCCAGAACCAAGTCAGAAAATCTGTTAAGATTCTATTTCTCTAGAGTCATTCTTGGTACCATAATTTGTCTTAGTCAGAGTCTTACCAGAAAAACGAAACCAGTAGAATAGATAGATGCCTGTCTGGAAAGAAAACGACAAATCCAGAAGGATAATGTATCTGATCCTCACTTGCTTTCCAGCCAGTAGCTTTCTTGTATTTTCCCTGTCTTAACACTGAGCAGCTTAACTAAGAAAGGGGACTAGAAGGCTAGGTTGTCCAGTTGATGGGATGCCTGACTGAGCGAGGACACAGCAGGGAAGGGAAGGGCATGGAAGGGTCATGGTCAGCCAGCACCAAAAGACAGGGATAGGAAGGGCAGGGAAAGTAGGTGCCAACTCACCAATCCACTGGCAGAAGAAAGTAAACACATCTGGGATCATGGGACCTATAAGAGAATGATCAGGTCATGCACAGACTGAAAAATTCCCAGAGGAGGCTTCTGGATAAATAGGACATGCATGGACCTTAGTTCCCCAAACTTTTGATGCAGGCCCCAGGACTCCTCTCCACATGGTGCTCAGCTGAGCCCTTGACTTGCAGGAAGCCCCACCATCTCCCACCAATGCTGACCCTGTCAGTTGTAAAAACAAAACAAAACAAAACAAAACAAAAACAAAAAACAAAAAAAAACAACAATCCTTAGGGAAGTCGGGCTCATAGATGTTCAGGAATCCAAGGGACTGTCCAAACCGAAGTGCATGGGCATAGGGGAATTGGTGGGCCCAGGAAACAATTTTGTCCAGGCTCTCTGTCCACTGTATCAGAAATATGACAGAACGGGAGGACCCTCAGGAGACCACTGTCACCAGCCAGGCCCTACGTCCCTGGGCAAAGAAGGCAGGGGGCTGCCCAGACAGACCATGGGAGCAACCTTCCCTCATCCTGCATCCCCCTGCATCCCCCTATACACGCCCCCTATACTGGGGGCAGTCCCCTCTCCAGCCCCAGAGAGATCACTGTAAGTTCAAGCCACCCAACTGCTGTACCTGAGTGAGCTCAACAACCCCAAGCTGGCCAACTTGCTTCCATCTGGTTCCTGTCATCAGCCTTCTATCTATGCTGCTCCAAGAAAGAGATTTCTCATTAAAGCTGTTTTCATGAGAGTGATAACATCATCATACTGTGCATTGCAGAAATCTGCTGAATTCTGCCCCTATTATGTCATTTGATACACTTTTCTGAGCCCCTACTATGTGCAGGAAACTATCTTAAGGTCTCAGGGTATGAGATGTACTGCGTCTTACACTTTCATTCCATGGGCAGACCGATTAGACTCAACTAAACAATTAAGGAGTGTGAAACACCCAGTAGTAAGTGCCAAGAAGGAAGCAGACATGCTGCTATGAGAGACTAGCAGGGAGTATCTACTTAGAGAGGGAGATTGGAGATGGCCCCTGGTTAGAGGGGGGAAACCTGGAGGATGACAAGCAGCTGACAGAGCGAGGGACAACATTCCCAGGAGAGCAAACAGCAAGCACAAAAGCTCTGGGCAGGAAAAAGTAATGGTGTCTTCCAGGAGCTGCCACCTGGTGGGATCATGGCCTGAGATGAGATTGGAGATCATCCAGAGGGTGGTGTGTGCTTTAAGATAGGGTGTGTTAAAAATTTAGGTAGAAATATATGAAAGCATCAGCATCATGCCAACACAGAGTAATTATTATGCATAATAAACGGCAGTCCAGCACTAGCAAAACTGGAGTACAAATTTGAGGTCATGGTCCTATCTGCGACATTTACTTTCTTTGTGACCTTGACAAAGTCGACTAAGTCCCTGGGTCTTAGTTTTCTTGTCTGTAAATTAAGGTTAATAAAATGTACAGTGGTTATGTCTATGCTTTGGAAATGTTATGCAAATATTGAGAAAATATTTTGGAAGCTTTACTGCATGCCAACAGCGAGCAGAGTCCGGGTCAGGAACCCTTACTTCTTCAGAATGACTTGTAGTTCATTCCAGGTAGAAAGTCCTCCTACACAATGTCCCCAGGAAAGAATAAACATGAGAGTTCTGTGTCTTCACTTGGTGGGAAAAGAAAGCAAATATTCAGGATTGAAAACATTTTGGCTGGGATGTGCAGTCTTTATAGGGGAGTACAAGTCAACAAGGTATGATATATTGTGTCAGCATCCAACCGAATGTTATCAGTCCCAGAAACAGGAATGCCTGGTGTTCTCTACCCACTGGGGTAATCCCTTCAAGCTGCCACCTTGGGGACTAACTGCACACACTCCTCTGCCTTCCTGTGGCCTATTAACAGAACCAGGAAGCATCCAGGAATAAAAATACTCATTTCCCTTTAAAATGTGGCAACCCAGAGTGAACCTAGTCTTTTTAAGACAGTGACCTAATGGGTCCAATATGATCCTGATTTCCTCCTTCATTCATTTGTCAAGTAGTAAGAATGCATTGGGCATCATCAATAGACACAGCCCTCTCCCAGACTTTAGAAACCTCAGGACTCAGGTTGCTTTTCTGCAACCTTCAAAGACTCCTTGGTTGGGGTGTCTGGATACCAGATGAATGAGAAAGATATTGACTGGGTAAGAAAATTGACTGTGCCCGCACAACTAAGACTTGAGCTCATACTTGACAGACAGTTCTGCATTCTGCTTTCCTCAC